TAAAGTCACGACAGTGGGAGGCTCTGCGTCATATAAGCTAGAAAACATGGAAGAAAATGTTGTAATACGACCATGGAATGTAATGAATTTAAAGTACTACTACTTTTAGAAACAAGGACTCATTTTTATCCAAAGTGAATTGTCCTGGAAAGGGCATGACCTTGGGGGCAGAGTCTTAGGGACTCCTGTCCCCAAATGAGGACATGAGCATGCCTCCTAAAAGGGGCATGGTCCTGGGGGCAGAGTCTCAGGGACTCCTACCCTCTAATAAGGACAGAAGCATGCCTCTTGGAAACGCTCTAAGGGCAGAGTCTCAGGAACTCCTACCTCTAAACCAAAAACCAGGAGCCCGCATCCTTCAACTAGATGGCAGGAGCATGCCTCCTGAATGGAAAATGACCCTGAAAAAGGGTACTCATCTGGTGCATTGCTTGAAAGCACTAACCCTTTCACCAAGACATTGGCATCTGCTTGCACAAGTACATCGGTGAAGTCGTCCGATCGACTAATATGGAACCCGATACCATCTCCTTAGATTGGCCCATAAGGAAGATGAAGCTAGCCGGAGTAAAAATATAAAAGTGTCCCTCAATGCCCTCGGCGTAAAAAACCCTCATGGCACTCGGTGTGGAACGTCGTACAAACCTTCCATTTTTGACACGTACCCTCAGCACAGATGTTCTGAAATAACGAAGCTTTTTGGCCCCGAGGTTCAACAATTGGGAATTTTGGGAGCTTCAGAGTTAGAATTTTGGAGTTAGAAGTTAGATTTGGAAGCTACAAGTACGCAAAGACAAAAGAAAAGAACACTAATATATGAAGCAAAGACATTTCATTCCAAAGGAAAAGAGGGCTTTGCATCCCCCATGATACAAAGGAAGTACTACAAATAAAAAAAAATTACAAGAAAAAGTTGGAAGTCCTAGCCCAGAGGGCAACCGGTGGCCCATTAACCTCGCTGCCAACGTTCCCTCCAGCATCCCCGAATAGTTCTTCGATGCTAAGGGAAGAGTCCGAATTAGAAGCATCGATTTGGGGAGCTAGGGCAGAGATGGGAGTCGCAGTAGAGGTCGCCGCCAATTCTGGAGCAGGAGGAGGATATTAGGTAACAGCCACAGTTGGGGTCGAGACTGCGGCATCGAAAGGTAGTGCCGAGTCTGACACTTGGGCGTTGGCGACAGCATCTTCAACTGCAATCTCTGCTGCAGCTTGTAGCATCTTGTTGGAGGGAACATACTCATGCTCTAGGAACAAGAGAGAGTTGGTGGGGACTCTGGTAGTCTTGAGCGCCTCGTCCCAGTCTTTCTTAAAACACTCTCTCTTGTTTTCTTCGAGGGCAAGCACAATGTCATCGGCGCAGCCGTCCACGATCTCCTGCTCTATTTTCTTGTTGGCCTCTATTTATGCTTAGACTCTATCTAGTTCCTGGGTGAGAGTCAAGAAAGCATGCTTTGATTCCTCAACCTTAGCCTCCGCTACAGACAACTTCTCAATCGCCTCGGTTATCCTCCTCTTGGCATCAACAAGGGTTGCACTTAGCTTTTCAGCGCTACCCCTCGCTGTCTCGCCCTCCTTCAGGAGTTAGGCGATTTGGGCCACCTGGGAAGACAGGGTAATATCCTTGGTGGCTACATCCTCTCTCGTAGTGGCAAGGGCTCCCTCGATTTCAACCTTCAGTTTCTCCGATTCTTGAAGCCTCACCCTCTACGAATGGTAGTGCTTGGCGATGACTGCGATTTTTCTGAGGAACCTGTGAAGGAAAGAGAGGTCACTCTGATGTAAACAAGATAGAAAAACAAGGAGAAAAATAAGAAGTGTAAAGGCTTACCAACAGGGAGCCTTGGATGATCGAGCAGAATAGCTGGTTGGTCGGTGCTCCTCTAGGTCGGCACTAAATTGAAGTGTCTCATTCACGACATAGGCCACGTGAGGATCATGGACGATGGAGTCGTTGACCTGGATCACCCTGTTCATTTGATCCCAAGTCCGGGGGTGCCATTCCTCAACAGAAGACGTCGATGCTAGAGGAGGAGGAGGAGTTCATTTCTATTGCTATTGTTGTTGTTGTTGCTGTTGTTTATGTGATGGAAGGGCCCTACCTTGACCCAGTCCATCATGTCTTTGCTTAGTCCTCCTCTCCTCCTCAATTTCTAAGTCCCAGTCATGGACCTGGTCTCGGCCAGAGGACCTTGGCGGCACCGGAAGAGGAGGAAGACTGTTGATGTTGATCCTTGAAAAGGTGAGGGGACATTGCCAGAGGATCCCCTGCCCCTCAAAGCAGCCCTCTGGTTCAGATAGCTGAGATTGAGACGAGGCCAACGGGACATTGCTACTTCTAGCGCATCCTCCTTGTCTAGGCTTTGAAGAATGTTGAAGTCAAACCAAGCCTCCCTCCTTGACATACTGGGCTTGGCGCGGATAATGGTGGAGGGTTCCCTAACTTCTGCCGCTTCTTCTTCGCCTCTCTTAGTGACCCCCTCTAGCTCGGCTTCTATGGCCCTGTCGGGGTCTTCCTCCAAGTTTTGCTCAAAGAACTCGAACCACCTCGACGGATTGTAAGGTTGGGGTGTTTAAGAAAACTTCTTGTATCTCGGGGTATAGTCAAGAAAAACGTGGGCAGATTTGTCAAACCCTTCATCGATGTATCCCCAAATCATGACAAGGTCGTCAAAGTTAACCAAGTGCCGAGGTGGAGGAGCAGCTTCGCGGTTGGAAACGTCTGGACAAAAGATAGAGCGTTAGTACTTTTATGTTCAAGAAGCTAATAAAGTCGAGAAGAGAGGAAAAAGTCGACGTACTTGTTATTCACCACTCTTTGGGGCAGGACAAGCTATCATACTCGGGGCCAACCCCCCTCTCCCAGGCGTCGCTGAAAACCAGCAGGTCATCCTTGTACCCCTTGTTGGAATCAGGAAGGTGGGTGACGAGATACATGGAAGTGTCTTGAGCCTTGAGATAGAAGTTTTGCTAGGGCATCACCCTCAGCAAGGAATAGTAGAAGAGGATGTCTTCAAGGCCTAGGTTGACCCCGAGGCACCTATTAAGCTCCACTACCCCCATGACTATTTTGAAAACGTTGTGGCAACACTGTCCTGGGAAGAGATGGAAGCGGGATAGGAATTGGAGGAGAAGTGGGTGGAGGGAAAATTTGATCCCGGCTTCCATAATTGCCTTGTTATAAAAGGGCATGAAATCCTCGTTGTTGACGCTAGTATGGTGACGTTGAGGGTGAAAATCATGTATGTCGATGCTACCAGGGATGTCGTAAAGGGCCCTGAAGTTGGTAATTTGTTGAGCCCCCTTGACCGTGTACTTCCTCGGCCTGGAGTTCCTAGCCTTTTGGGCCTCGGCGACAGGACGAAAACTCCTCAGCATCTTATATAAAAGGGAGGGAAGGGTTCCAAGTAAGTGTTCTCTAAAATGGGAATCCTAAGGGGCACCACCAAACTCAAAACGATGAAAAGGTAAGGCTAGGGGACTATCCTAGGGGTTTCAGAACTAAGATGATGGAACTCGTAAGGTGACTAGTCACCAAAAAAATGAAAAAGGGAGAAGAAAATGATGAAAAGAGAACAAAACTCATCGAAAAGAGACTGGAAAGGTTAATTGGAGGCTTGAGATGACTTTATCTCCTTCGACGGTGACTAAAAAAATGGTGGTTCTTCAAGCAGCGACACTCTGACGAGTTCTCTGTCGAGGGTCTCTGATGCCCAAAGGTTCAAAAGTGACGAAGGGAAGACAGGGCTCTGTTTATATAGGCCCTGTTCCCATCATTGTGCACAAAACACAAGGACAGGTGCATTCAATGCACACGATCTCCAAAGATGGGAAAATGGCTGAAGCAATGATGAGGTAAGTGAGCCCTTCCATCTTCCAATGACACGTGTCCATTCCGTACGAAGATCAAAGGGCTGGGGACAGTTGATCAGACACTTCTGAGGAAGGATAAGATTTTGATATGTGTCCTCGACACCAAGGCACATCATTGTCCCTAATGAAGCCACGTTCCCTCGGCACCAAGGCTCGTCCTCCCTTTTGACGAACACGTGTCCTCGACTCCAAGGCAAGTCCTGTTCTCTGGTGATGACACACCTCCTCGGTGCCGAGGCACCTCCCATTCTCTCACGCAGCCACATGTCCTTGGCTCTGAGGGTACCTCCACTGAGGGACAACCACGTGTCCTCAGCACCGGAGGCATTTTCTATACTCAGGCCTTTCCACGCGTCTTCAGCTTTTGGAGAGGCTACTGATTGACAGCTGACAAGTCTCAAAACTAGAATAAATATCATGTGGGTGCCTCCCCTACAAAGTCAGAATGACAAAATGAACAAGACGTTCGACAAGGGGGAGCTAGACACGTGACATGAAGTACAGGTTGAGAGGTGAATAGAGAAAAATACCCCAGCTGACATGCAACTATTCCAGGCAAACATTTAATGAACCCCCAATTGATGGGACATCCACAATGACTCTAAGAACCAAGAAAAAAGAGCATTAAATGCTCCAGGACATGAACATTTAATGCCTCTACGTTAAAGAAGGAGCATTAAATGTTCAGGGGGGCGAGCATTTAATAAATGGGGCTTCCTCCATGCAAAATAGGAGATGCACTGCCCCATGTCTAGGTGCTACCTACAGCCTAGACCATCAGTAATGATGGTCTTTGGAGGTATAAATAGTTTTCAAAAATACAGGGCAAAGGTATGCAAACTCACTCCTCAAAAATACAAAACAATGCTTTCTTCTTCTCTTCTTTTGAAGAACTGACTTGATCATCAGAGGGGATACGCTGAAAAACACTATGACGCCTTTTTAACCTATTTTTTATGTGTCAAGAACATCTTACAACCCGCCAAAATCGATAGAATAGCCCCTGGAGCAATTCATCACCACTTTTTAGGCCCTTTTTGGCCATTTTGGATTTATCCTTTGTCTCGAGATCATCGACTTTCGGGGAAAATACGAATTCACCAAGGGAGACATCTGTCTTTTCATCCATTATGCAAAAAACACTGAGCACAATATCATATGATAATAAGCAGAGGTTACATTGTCCAAAGAATGATCCTATTGCAGCTAGTACCATTTCCAGTTATGGGAAGTGGAGTGGTGAAAAGTCTGGAAGCTCAATGTAACGAAAAAAATTAAGCTTCTTGCTTGGTGAGTTTTTTCATGATACTTTGCCAACTTTGTGTAATCTTTTTTGAAAGAAAATCCATGTTAAGAATGATTCTCTTTTGCGGGGTTTCCCTCGAAACAATGCTCCATGTTTTCTTTGATTGCTCATTTACGAAACAGGTGTGGTAGTGTTCAAAAATTAAAATCCCAAGGCGGTCGTTTTATGTTTACCAAGATTGGTTCTTTTGTATGATGGAAGATTTGCAACATTAGGAGAGGGATTTATATTTTAATCTTATATGGTCGATTTGGTATAATAGGAATAGAGCATGTTTGGAAGAAGAGGTGTTTTCTCCAGATCAGATAGCATCCTTCTCTATCACTTTTCTAAGCCATTTCACTGCTACCCAATCTGATTCTTCTATATTTGGCTTTCAAGATTTTGCGGTAAGTTCTAATGTTTTGTTTCCCCTACTACTAGTGTGCTAATAATTAATTTTGATGGCTTTGTTTTCAACGAGCAAGCGGGTGGTGTAGGGATAGTGGTCAGAGATTATGAGGGCTCTTTTATTACTGGGTTTAGTCAGGTTATGAGAGGACTTTCTAGTGTATTTCACGTGGAAGCCATTGCGACTTTCAAAGCAATGAAGCTGGCTATTGATATGGGTTATACTTACATCATGTTGGAGGGAGATTCTAAAGAGATAATTGAAGTGTTAAAGGAGAAAAAGCCAAGTTTGGCAGATATTGGGATTTGTACATGATGATGCACAAAACAGTCTCGTGCAAGATCAGTAGTCAAGTGTGTGACAGGGTGCAATTAATGAGACAATTAATAAAACATCCAATGGTAGTAATGTAAATATTGAATCAACACATAAATATATAGTGGTTCTGTTTGGGTGACTTACTTCACTCTAGGAAATGGCAACAGTGGTTGGGGGATTTTTATTGAACAAGCAAGATGGAAAAAAGAGATAACAATGGTTAGCTCTGAGAGAGATACAATAGCTAGGAGAGAGAAAGTGTATGTAGAGGGGTGAAGTGAGATGCCAAGATATGTCCTCTCATGTAGAGAGGACTCACAATTTATAGGCATGGTGAGGCGATGACGTGAGTGTGAGGGTACTACTTCTTCGGGGAGGATAGTTACAAATGGTAAGTACAAATAAGGTAGAATTGATCTTCGTGAGTGTGTATTCCGATAATCTCTCTTCCACGTGCTCTTATCTTACTGGGCTTCTTGAATCTTGGACTGGGCTGGATTGATGAACCGGACTTAGGTTGCCTTCTTAGTGGGTCTGAGCTTGCTTGATTTATTGGATCTGACCCAATTAGATTTGGGCTCGTCATTTGCCCCCATGCCCTAAACCCTAATTGCTTTCGATAGAAAAGGGTTGAGAGCATAAGTGAGCTCTTAGTTTCTTGTTCCGCATGGTAGCTTTTTCATCTTCTTCGTTTCTGCAAAAATTCTTTCCCTATCTTGTATCATCACTACAATGACAATCACCTTCTGTGCTAGACCCTCAAAGCTAGGGAAATCCAAGGGGAACCCCAAGCCTAGTATCATAGAATTCCTCAATCCTAAGTAAATCGAAGGGCAGATCAGCAGCATAGAACGAGCCATCGCTGGCGTGGTCAGAAAAGACAGCAAGGTCGGCATCCCTAGTGCTGATGGCAACAAAGTGAACGACCACACCTATGGCGTGGGATACGAAGAAGTGGTCAGTGATAGCGCTGTCGGAGTGGAGAACGACACCATTGCGTCCTTGTCATTTGGAACCCAGGTGCTGGGTGGGGCCAACTCCATGGGCGACACCCTCTACAGCTGGAGATGCTAGGTTATCGGAGATGCCCAAGAGGGAGGAGCCCAAGAACAAGGCGCCCAAGAGGGAGGTGCTAACGGGGGAGGCACCTAAGAGGTAGGCGCCGAAGGGGGATGTGCCCAAGAGGGAGGCGCCCAAGGGGAAGGCGCCCAAGGGGGAGGCGCTCAGGAGGGAGGTGCCCAAGGAGAGGTGTCCAAAGGGGAGGTGCCCAAGAGGGAGACACCCAGGAGGGAGGCGTTGGCTTCGTTGGAGGCAGCACCCTGGGCATAGACATCGATTCAGGCTGCGCCACTTTGGGTTGAGAGCAAGGGGTCAAAGTCCACAGCGTGTCTAGAGGCGAACTCATGGAAGGCGATGCTGAACAGGGATAGGTTGATGCACTTGGGCAGCTAGGCGACGCCTGAGGTTTTTCGCACGAGCGCTGACACGACAAAACTTTGAACGACCATAACTTTGCGCTTAGTTGTCCATTTAAGGCGAATTTTTTTTTTGAATCTGGGTATTTTTTTGAGATCTGTGACATACAAACTGACGAAAGCAATTTGGTCACCAAATTTTTCCAAAAAATGCTTTTATCTCTCTGAACTTGAGTTTTAAACACAAATTAGTAAAACCAACGGTGGTGGGAAGCTGCGTTCTGGTAGACAACTGTCAGGCATTCATGGGCGATGGGTTGGTGTTCTGGATTTTTGTCAGAGGGAGACTATAATGACTTTTGGCTATGCTGGTCCTTAACCTTGTCTTTGATTATAACCGCTCTCATTGATAGAACGACAATAGAGGTGAAGGTTTTCTATGCTTCTAAGACAGCATTTTCCCCTCTTCTCAAGAGGACGAGGTTTGATGCCCTAGTGTTTTTTGGCTGAGGTCCGATGGCCAAGTTAATTCCCGAGAACGGGATCCAGTGGTGCCCCCACTCTTTCCCAAACTGGGACTTTTGTGTGTACCAGAGTTCACCCTTGTGCAATCATCTATAGGGACTGTAACTCCACATAGCTATTATATTTCTAATAGTAGCTCGGTGTCCATGTTTTGACTTGTCGTTGGTCAAGGAGTGGCTTTGAAGGTCTGTGACTCCCAGGGATATCAGAGAGGTTAGATCTCGAGGTTCAAGGGGCATTACCAATACCGCGATGGAAGGGTCTTCCACAGTATGCCTCTCTTCTCAACTTTGATTTTGTACTGACCTTTTTCCTTTATGTTCTACTTTTTGAATGCTTGCAAGTGGCTGTCGCTTATCCCTGCCTTTTTCAAGGACGATCAAGCTTGGTGAGGCATTCAGGGATCTGGTAATAGAGAGGTAGACATGGGGGTTGCTAAGAGTAGTTAAGGTTGGCTCATGAGAGAGTAACACCTGTTGAGGTTGAACTTTTGGCAACTTATGAAAGAGTTGTTAAGTTGGAGATTGAGGTTGCTCGAGAGTAGAGATAGGATTAGGCCAAGTTTTTTGGTGACTCACAAGAGAGCTCAAAGTTGGATACTGATAAGATTGTCTGTATGAGAATAGAGTCAGAGCTGTAAACGCCCTGCGAGAGGGCCACCAGAGCTGAGGCCGAGCTACGTATAGCTCGGGAGAGGGCTGCCATGGTAGAGACTCATTCCATTGAGATGGAGATGAAGAGGGAGGCTGCTGAGAGGGCCACACCTTTACTAATGGTTATGAAGGGCTTGACAGCTTTCCTTGTTATTGATTTCTCTGACTTCACCCCATATGAGGCATCAGGGGTAGACGATGACAAAGAGAGCCTTGATGATAATGGCTCAGAGAGTAGTGACTGATCGTTAGGAATATGACGACTTTTGCCTTTTTGTCTACCTTATTGTTAGGTCATGTTCTGACTTTTGTAAGCTATTTACAGACTTTATGAAATGAAAGCAAGACAGTTATGTACACAATAATCTTTATAGAATTTTATTTCATAAAATAATAAATAATAAAATAAATCAATTGAAACAATAAAGGATAGATAAATTTTTTTGGTGTTTGCTGTCCCATAGGTGGGCCAAGACTTTCCTGGCGAAGTTAGAGTCACCTCCTCCTCTTAGCCCTCAAGAGATTGTTTGAATTTTTTCAAGTGGTTGCTATCGTTTTCTGTCGTCCTGGTCCCGACCAAGTGGCGCGGCTTGTCCTATCCTAGCAATGTACTACCTCAACATACCATGCTGTATGAGCTCCTCGATCTGCCTTTAAGATCAAAGCAATCGTCAGTACGTATCATGGTCGTGGTCATAGTGGAAACGATAGTACTTGTTCAGGCTCCTACAGTTCAAGGGGAACTTCATTTTTCGGGGCTAGTGGAGCGTGGGGTAATCCTGTATCTAGAACAAGATATGCTCCACCGAGGCGTTGAGTGGCGTGAAGGGTTGCCATTTTCTCTGGTGTACTGGACCGAGACGGTCTTTGATAGAGACTCTCTCGGTTCTCTGTCTCTTGTTCTTCATCTCTCGCTTGTCTTTGCAGGTGTCCTTCCTTTTTTCTCCTTTTTTGGAGGACTTACCTCACCGGACAATGTTATCAGAATCGGACCAGTCATTGAACTGGCAAGGGGACTGGGTCAATGGTTCACTGGTTCAACCGTTGGGTCAACTGGTCGGACGGTCATATAATAAAAAAATAAAAAAAATATGTAATAATTATAAAACATAATAATTTAGCTAAACAATATAAAATATGTCTAAAATACATACAATTAGCCAAAAAATTAATGAAGTTAAGTAACAAAGTGAGGGTTATTGTATTTTAAAGCAAAGTAAAGAGGTTGATGTAAATTATAAAGAAAAAAAAAGGGTGTCATTTATAATTTATCCCAGAATAAGGTAAAAAAAAAATCAGCTATAAATGTTTCATCCCCCAGCTTTCATCTCTTTCATTTCATTTCTCTCTTTCCATCACTATATCATCCCCTAGCTTTCGATTGAACTCAATTTGCCTGTTGAAGGGATGATGTTGATTTGTTGGAAATTGGGATAAGAAGATGCTCTTATGAAGGCATTGGACTGTGCTTCAGCAATTTAGGGCAAAAAAAATCGATCAACTGGTGTGTTCAATTTAGGGCTTTATTCTCTGATCAGCTACTTTTATGAAGGCATTGGATTGTGCTTCAGTGATTTAGGGCAAAAAGAATTGATTAGCTGATGTGTTCAATTTAGGGTTTTATTCTTTGATCAGCTGCTTTTTTGAAGGCATTGGACTATGCTTCAGCAATTTAGGGCAAAAAGAATTGATCAGCTAGTGTGTTCAATTTAAGGCTTTATTCTCTGAGGGCATCACCGAGTTAGTTTTGCACTTCTCTGATCTTCTCCTTCCATTGGTTGGGGACATCCTACGTCGGGTTATTGTACTGTCTTCCATGATTGGCATATTGGCTTTCTCCTTCTTCCTCCTGCGCAGGTACATGAAGAGGGGAACATGTGAGCTTCCTACGTGTTGAGGAGGGACTGCTGGGCAAAAGGCACCCTGGCGTTGACTGGGGGCATTCTGGCGAGGGGCCCCATCGTACAGGGTTGCTTGGAGCCCAACATAGAGAGCTTGATGTGTTTCTCCAATTGGAGGGAGTGGTGCTCCTCCTACAGGTTGAGAGACGATGCTTTCCTAGGTGGGCATCAATTGAACGATTTGTTGGTTTTGGTTTATCAACAACTGCATGGTCTGGGCTCGACCACGGGAGTCACCGCAGTGGATAGTTCCGAGGTTGCGGGAGCTGGGGGGCCGGGTTGTTGTCTCCTGGTTGTTGACTCATCGACCTGGTCGTGATTACCATGGAGTAGCAAGGTGGCATAAAAATTAGTCATCTCCCACAGACGACACCAAACTGATGATGCACAAAATAATCTCGTACAAGATCAATAGTCGAGTGTGTGACGGGGTGTAATTAATGAGATAATTAATAAAACATCCAATGGCAGTAATATAAATATTGAATCAACACACATATATATAGTAGTTTGGTTCGAGTGACCTACTCCACTCTCAGAAACGACAACAGTGGCCGGGGGATTTTTATTGATCAAGTAAAGTGGACAAAAAAGAAAGCAATGGTTATCTTTGGGAAAAATACAATAGCTAGGAGAGAGAGAAAGTGTATGTAGGGCGGTGTAGAGAGGTGTGGTGAGATGCCAAGATGTGTCCTCCTATGTGGAGAGGACTCACAATTTATTGGCATGGTGAAGCAGTGACGTGAGTGTGAGAGTACTACTTCTTCACGGAGGATAGTTACAAATGGTAAGTACAATTAAGGTAGGATTGATCTTCGTGAGTGTGTATCCCGATAATCTCTCTCTCACGTGCTCTTATCTTCTCGGACTCCTTGAATCTTGGACTAGGCTGGATTGATGAACCAGACTTGGGTTGCATTCCTAGTGGATCTGAGCTTACTTAATTTACTGGGTCTGACCCAATTAAATCTGGGCTCGTCACTACGGATCTACTCGAAATATATGCGAAGAATTTGACTGCTTGGTCTGTGTCTTGGGTAAGGCAATGTCGGAATGTTCCTGCTTATAGTTTGGCTAGGTTTGCTATTAATTGTAATGAACCTACGCTATGTAGGAAGGAGACACCTTTGTTTTTGTCCAATCTGATTCGCATTCGTCTGATTAATATATCATCTGATCGTTTAGTATCAAAAAAAAAAATCTTGATTTCCTTTGCAATTAATCATATTTTATAGGACACAAAGATCATCAAAATCTTTAATTTTTTGGTACATTTAACACCCTCAATTGGAGGGAAAAATAGTGCTGCAAAATTGGGATGTCCAATGATCCTAATGCCAGAGTGTGCTATGGATTTGGTGGTGAGAGAGAGAGAGAGAGAGAGCAGATATACATCTTAATCAAAACAATGACTTGTGTTTTATATGTGCTTTAAAAAGCAATAATGTTGTTTGTTCTTAACTTGAAAATCTATTTAGGTCCTAATGTTGACTGCAAAAATAAAAAATTTAAGACCTAATACATCGTGATTGTTCGATTTATAAGGAACTTTATTTAATGCTAATACCCACCGCTAATTTAGTGCCCATAAAAAAATAAAATAAAATAATTTAATGCCCATAATGAATTAGAACTCATATTAAGTCCTAAAATTAAGTCTTAACTACCTTGCTATATTAAAAAGCGCTTAGCACGTTAAAATCAGTTGTCTAGATTTTAGCTTCTGAGTCTGGGCTGTGGCTCAGACCATTAAACCCGATAACTTCTCAATGTTTCTTATTCAGTTTCTGGTTTGCATAGAGAAATAAAAACACTTGTATTTTTGAAAACATGATTCAAGATCCGACTGAAGCGCATATGAAGGCAATAGAATACCACAGGCAGTATATGGAGGCAGTAACTCAGCTCAGTTTTGATCCAATGCCAAACCCCAATATTGGATGGTGTCTTTCGAAAACGGTTACATGCAAGGTGAATTTCGACGCAACTGTGTTTAGAGACTTAAATGTCTTAGGAGTGAGGGTAATTATAAGAGATGACCGAGGTTACTTTATAGGAGCTTTGTCTAAAAGGATGGAAATAAACTCTGATCTTCGTCAAGCAGAAACTATAGCAGTGAGAATAGCAATCCAATTTGCAATGCAACTAGAGCTGCCAGAAGTTATATTGGAAGGGAATTCTTCAGACGTCATGCAATCTATTGGGGGTTGTGTGGTGGATCTTGATCCTCTCGATGCCATTTTATAGGACATTAATAGCATAGGGAGTAGCTTTTATTATTTTGAAGTGTATGAGGTTCGCCGCAATAGAAATAAAGTAGCTCATGAATTAACTCATTTTGTTCTATTATTAAATAATAGTGTTGTATGATTGGAATAGACACCAGACCTTGTTATGCCTCTTTTTTTTTTTTTCTGATCTTCCTCAATAATATAATTTTATCGGTGAAACTTTTACACAAAAAAAAAGGGCTTAGCAAGAGCTTTCGACGCAAGCCACAAATTGTATAGAAATCATACATACAGCTGATCCCTGTGTATTAATTGTAAAACATTATTATACCAAAAAATAAAATTTTGATAAAAAAATCCTAAAAAATATTATTTTTTTTTGGAGTTTAACCATCATGAATATTTGGATCAATTTACGGGCACATCATCGACTATCCCACATCCTAAAAAATAGTAAGTTCTACCAACAAAGTCATAAAACTCTATCTATAAAGTGATAAGGGAAGTCACAAAGTAAGTGAACTCAAAAAATTAGTAAATTTCAGCAAAAAAGTAGTATACATACCAAAAAAAAAAAAAACCCGGTAATGTTATGTTTATCAAATATTTTTTGTCAAATCTCCATTTTAAATGATGTGACAAAGTTTTTCACCGTTAGATAAATAGATCTCATTAATAAATATTCAATGACGGAAATTGTGCTATATCATTTGGTATGAAGATTTATTAAATTTTTTTTTGGTAAAAAACTTTCGGTACCGTAATTAAATCCGTATTAATTTACATGCTGTCAGTGATACAGTCCTGTCATGACTACAAATGGCATGACAAGTGACAACTTCTACAAATCACAAGTTTTCAATTTAGCTTTGTTTAATCTAAAGAAAATGTTATGTTTATTAAATTTTTTTATTCTAAATGTTGTGACACAATATTGATCATTAAATATTTATGAGATCTATTTATCTGATGATGAAAAATTATTTTACATCATTTTAAATGAAGATTTATTAAAATAATTTGGTAACTATACTATTACCCTTGATCTAAAACTCAGAAAGGGAAATCTGAAAGCTCATTTGCATGGTAAAACCCATTGCAGATGGTTTTTGGAGACCTCAAGCTTCAACATTTTCGGTAAAATAGTTTTCCTACATGAAAGTTGATGGATTTTAGTTGTGTGTGTGTCTGTGTGTGAGAGAGAGAGAGAGAGAGAGAGGCAGCGGCTCCTGCATGAACAAGTCAAAGCCCTAGCTTTACCGACTGACCAACAGAAAAAGGAACCAATGGATACAAGATAAAAATGAACTGGGAGGAGAATGAGGGGACATTTGGATCCAGATGTATTACAATTAAGTAAAACTCAAAAAAGTTGTTGTGAAAAGCCAAAGAAAGTGGTAGTATACGTAACATACCATCAAATTTTATAAATGCCGCACTCCATCTTTTGCAGATTTACAAGTTTTAAATATGGAAAATGTTATTTAGATTTAATTTGAGAATTTAATTTAGAGACATAATGATGTACAACTATTAGATTGGTTATGTGTTTCATATAACATTGAAATTCAAAACTAATTCAATAATTACATTGAAGCTACATCATTAGATCGTCAGATTAGATCCCTAACTAAGCTCTTTGAAGCATTGCTCTTTAAATATTCCGCAGACAACGGTTATTAATTTTCAACAGTTCCACTCCCCACCCTCATATATATATATAGTATATATATGTGTGTGTGCGCGTGTAAGTGCAAATAGTGAATAATGAAAGGTGCCAAAAGCGAATTAATATATACTATATATGTCACAACAATGTTGTTTAGGTAAAATTAGTAAAAGGTGCAGAGTTCGAAGATTCAGAAGCGAAATAAGATATACATAAGAAGTTTCCAGCAATCAAGGTCAAGATCATGTGACTATACCCTTAAGATACGGAGCATAGAACTTCTCTATCTCTAAGTCACTCTCACTCTCTCTCTCTCTCAACAAACACAAAAGAGGGTTTTGAGATTCCTAAGTGATACAAGAATATCAAAAGTCACAACGGGCAACAGCTATTTCCCTTACTCAACACTGCGTAATTAGTCAAACCTTTAATGGTATTGATTCTCTAGGATGGTCTAAAGCAGTACTAGCACAGCAGCCACTACTTTAGTTGGTGCAATGACAGTTTATATTGAAGGAGAAAGAACAAGAGGAGGAAGAAGAAGGCATAATACAGCTAGAATTTCGGTGTTCCTCCTCTGTGTAATCTTAATTTTCATTCAGTTATGTCCATCTTGTGCTCAACAAGACAACATTGGTCGGTCCATCCGTTTAGCTCCTGCAAGAAAAAGCCAGTTTTTCCACACAGTATCAATTCCTGCAGCTTCGCCGACTAAGTTTTCCGGCACAGACGACAAAGATTCTGACAAGTTGTATGGAGATGATAAGAGAAGAGTTCATACAGGTCCCAATCCTCTTCACAACTAACCAGAGCTTTCCTACTGTTTGATTCTAATGGTATTTAGCTAGAATTCAACCGAACAGATATGTGTAAGTTGCTTCTGTTATCACTTTTTGTTCTTTCTCTCTCTTCCTCTGTATCAAAATACATGGTAGCAAAGCTTTTGCTTTTTCAGTCAAGGTTTAATGAGTTTATGGGCAGTTTAACAATGGCGAGAAAAAAAAGGAGGGAAGGAATTAATGCTCTTGCTTCCATTGCAGTGTTCTTCTCCTGTACCTGCTGTGAAATTGTTATGTTTGTACTTTGTACTAATTGGTGTAGTGTCAACACACTGTGGTCCTTACTAAACTATAGGAATAGTGAACACTCTAATATGCTTCATGCTCATGTTTAACCGGAGATAATTTTAATTTTTCACGATAACAATATTGTTTAAACTTAATTTGTTATAATCATTAAATTGATAATAAGTTCTAATATTTTTTTGAATTTGCTCTTAATCCAATGGCTACAATATTTTACGTCAATAAATTATATTTATAAATTAAATTTAAATAGTATTAGTGTTTGACAAGGTCTTCAGATATTATCAAAAGTAATGGACAGCCAAGTTATTTCTTTGAGCTGTCCTCTCTCTCTCTCACTCTGCAATTTTCAGAACTGTCAGCAAGTTTTTCATGAGGTCTAGTATCCGAAAAAGGCGAACAGCTGAAAAGTAACTATGGTCAAATTTAGGAACACACAAAGGGTCCTGTGGTTCAACTTTTAGGTCTTGTGTTTTTTTTCTTTTTTGGGTCATGGAACTTTTAGGTCTTTGAGTTATAACCATGTATACAATTGTTGTTTCTGTGTCTTATACACTAAAATAGTATTAATGAACGGAGTAATGTTAGACTGACTTATATAATTATAATAATAGGCTTTTTAATGAGTTCATATCATTTATTATATCATCAAATTAGAGTAATAAATCAGATTTTGAGGTAGCAATCATTTACTATAACTCGAGGCTAAAACAAGTTTCGGAGTGTAATACTTGAGAGGCATGTGACTTTGTCCGAGCTTTATTAATTATGGGCTGGGTTGTGGAGTGGTGATTGATTATTCCTAGAAGTTCCAAATGTTTTTCTTGACTTAGATGCTTCCATTTTTTTTCTGAAAAAGGATGCCCTGTCTGGCTGGCCCAACACGCATTCTCGAGGTTAGGAAACTAAACCAAACATATTAATTACACATATAAATGTTTCAATATACGCCAGTACTTTGGGTAATTCACACTTTCAATGAACTGGGCGCTAATCTTACAGTCATTTTTGTACCCCCTCCCTCGGGGTAGTATATATATGACATGAATTTTTCACGAAATTAGTGGTTCAAGGTTAATAGTCGCGACAAGTATTCGAAAACTATGTGAACTGTCAACGTGAATAATAAAAGGTTTGTGCTAATGTCGAAAAATGAATTACATGGTTAGTTTTAACCCGATAAACATGCTTAGCTTGTAGAGATAACAAACATAATTTTTTATTTGATTTTGTAAATTTTGGATTGTTTAGATTTTTAGTGTTAGAAAATCCATCCGGTTCATTAGTTATGTGTGTCAACTTGAGCTAGATATGATTAATATATAAGTTGGATTAGTATATGATTACTGGGTATAATTAATTAGAAAAATTGGATGATACTTAATACGAACTAAAAATACACGATCCGAATGGGCCACAATGTATATCACTCAATTGACATCCTTACATCGAATGCGGTGTTCTTGTTCAATAACGTGGTGTTCATCGCCCAAATTAAGAAATTAAAGGCACTTTCAATCAACCTTTTAGTTAACAATTGCATGTTGCACCAACAAAGCAGAAAAGCATAATAAATATGTATATTTGTTTTACCAATGTCATCTTTTTGCGGAAAAAAAGTCAATGTTGTCAAGGTGAGATCTAAAAAGAAGCTATTAGAAACTTCGTTCGGAACTTGGAATAAGTTTTCTTCAACTAAAACAGCACAAAATCCCCGGAAAAGGTTGGGGGAAAAGGGAACTACAGGAGTTTAGAATAGTTCAAAAGATTCTTGGAGTGGGAGAAAGAATAGATGCCAATGCTGCCTCTAATTTTTTTTGCCTCAAGATAGATTTTTCCCATGATTTGGATGTTTGCTTGTAGCTATTATAGCGGTAGCATGTGAGTCTCACTACAAGGAAAAAAAGGGTTTTTACAACGGTAAAATACTGTCATAAAAGACCTATTTACCGTCACAAATATTTTTTGTGGCGGCATTACCTCGTCATTATAAGTGTGATCTTAAAAGTTTTTTACGGCAGAAACGGTCTGTCTCAAAAATATTTACGGCGGCAAGATCCTGTCGTAAATAAGTTGTCACAAAAATTCGACACTTTTATTTTTATCACAGCGACAAAGTGCTGCCTCAAATACCATATTTGACTATCGTAAAAAGTATAAGATATATTTATGACAGCAACGATGCCGCCACAAAATTATTATTTTTAATTATTATGGACCGTTTGTAATCAATATTATATACCTTGTGCATATATACACTCCATATAATTTTTTTTATTTTTTATTTTTTGGTGGGGGAGGGGGAATGACACTTGAACCCTTGACTTCAAGATGACAAAGCTTTCACAATGTAAAGAATAATATTAGACTAAATACCCATTCGTATTCATACAACTACCTAATTTAATATATAGAAAAAACATAACGATCTATAAGTACAATGAATTAATGGAAAAAATTGAATATCCTTCTTGAACTATCTATTCTTTCAGTGACATCTGAAAAAAATATAAAATTATTATTATAATACTAAAATAATATATAATAATTGTTGAACAATAAAGAATTAAAAGAAGTTAGAATATACATCAATAGAGGGTCACGCAATATTTATCTGAACGACTTGTCCAATTATGTAAATGGTATATAAACGAGTCATATCGTATACATTTTTTTCTAACTGGTTTCACCAATACCTGATTTGTTTATAATTGTATCGTAACAGATCTACTTGTTTACTAAACAAATGGTTTAAGAAAGACTCAAACTTACTAATTTTATGCCGCGTTAACAGGTCATGTCATATTTTGGCACCCCTAGTTTTGATATAAAAACTTGCCTTTGTAGAGTTTATTTTTTTTTTCTTTGAACTAGAAATTGTCTTTTGATGTTAAACTATGTAATTTTATAAAATAAAATAGTTGTGGTCAATACAATTTTTTTTAGAGTTTTTATTCTTTAAACTATAAAATATTTTTTAATCTAAAACAATATTTTAATATTTTATGAAATATTATATACGACGGGAAAAGTAGCTGCCCTAAATATAAAAAATTCTTTTGAATTTATAAAATATTATTTGAGACAGGAAAAACAGCTGTCTCAAATACAAAAATTTATTTTGAGTTTATAACACTATTTTACGGCAGAAAAAATAGATGCCACAAATATTAACACAAACACGCTTTTTGTAATGACAAACACAATCGTTACAAAAAATTGTCTCAAATACGTTTTTTGTGACAGTAAACACAACAGTCGTAAAAAATTTGTCACAAAAGGCATTTATTCTTGCAGTCTCTCTCTCTCTCTCTCTCTCTATATATATATATATATATATATATATATATATATAAAATAAACACATGAGTGTGTTTGAATTTTATTCTACTCATATTTTCTCCCTCAAACCATTACCTATCACTTATCTCACAAATCATTTTTTTTTCAGACTCAAACGTCAAATTACATCACTAATTTCTATCACATATTTAATCATTTATATATTTCCTTCCTAAAAATATCACATCACTCATTTATATCATATATTTAATTATTTAATATTTAATTAATTTATAATTAATATATTTTAAAAAAATTTAATATAGTACGCTCGATTTTTTAGATGCTCAAATTTTATATTTTATCGTGCCTTCAGAGACGAGTTATGACTAGTATATATATATTTAAAACATAATGTGTGTTTGACAAGTGTGACAATTTTTCATTTGTGCCATGGGTTCCCAAACCTATTTCTATTAGCGGTGATAGTTGTGCCGTGTCATGTTCGGTTTGTGTCGAGTTATGTCAGATTGGTGTCGAACACTAATTAACTCTAACTCAAGCTATTTAATTAATTGTGTCATGTCGATTGACTTGTTTATTTTCATGTCAGAGTTCTTGTTCGTATTGACCCATATAAACCTCGAATAAAGAACTTTGCTTTAAGATTTTATTATCAATTAATTGAATTCATGCTCGTACTTTTTCTATAAATTTAAAATTAACTTAATAAACAAAACAATAATAATTAGAAAAAATATCTTTTTTGTACAATAATTATGTCAATACTTAATAAACAATAATAAATAATTAACATTTTATTTTTATAATATTAGTTAAATGTGTTAATTGTGTCGATTTTGTGTTGTTCATATTTGACATTTGCCCAATCCATTTATTATTCTTGTTAACAGGTCGTGTCATTTACTAGTTCGTGTTGAGAAATGATTAACCTAGTTTAAGGGATAAAGTGAAAAAAGATCATAGTTAAGGGGTCAAAATATAATTTACCTATAATTTTTTGGTTTCCTAGAAGCATAATATTGTTTTACTACAAAGACGTAGTGAGTGAAAATCCAAGAAGGTGAGATAGTCACAGGTTCAGAACGAGGGATAATGGAGCTCGCAATGTGAATGACACTGTGCTTTGTGGTTGACTCCTTCCGGGTAACCAGGGGCAAATTTGGGGCCTAAGCAAAAATGTTACACGAGATCCTATAAATATTTATTCAGTAATAATAATAATATTAAATATTTATTAAAATATGTTTATTTATAAATTATTTGTTTAACCTTTTGAGATATAACATACTAATTATATTTTAAATTTAAATATTACAAATAAAAATTGCATTAATTGAAATCAAATACGGAGATCAAATACAATGAAATATACTATTTGTTTAAGATAAAATAAAAACATAATTGAAAATTAGTTT